AAGTCCCAGCTACTCCACAGGTGTGTAATGACATTTCTGAAAAGGTTAAATAGAAAGTAGGTTTAAAAAAATTATTAAAAATTTAAAAATTAAAACTGGTAACATCTAAAATGCCAAAATTACAGGTGCGCAGATATCACTGAGTGGCTGGAAGAGATGACAAAGATAGGGATTGAGAGAACTGAAGGCAAGGAGGGATTTGAAAACGAGGATGAGATTTTTGAAACGGAGGCTTTGCTTAACTGGGAACCAATGTAGGTCAGTAAACACGAGGGTCACAACTAAATGGGAGTTAGCTCGAGTTAGGCCACAGCCAATAAAGCTTTGAATGATCCAATTTTAAGGAGTGTAGAGGATGAGAAATTTGTCCAGAGGGGCAGAATTATTAATTTCATACCTAATAGCTGCACAGATGAGAGCTTCAGCACCAGGTGACGTTATGAATGTGTGGAAGGGATGCACAGAAAGGGTGGGAAACTTATCTTGGGGTCAAATACAACAGCAACGTTGTGAACAATGTGGGTCAGACCCTGTTAGTTTCAGCAAAAGGCACTATGTCCGATTTGAATTTGCTACAGTCACCAAAAACAATGTTTCGGATCTTCCAAAAATTTAGCAAGGATAATCTTTTGCTCACTTAGTACAAGGTATCAGAAAGACAGCCTGAAAATTTGAGGTGACTGAAAATTTTGAGAGAGGCAGGGATGGTGCTAAGTGTTTTGTTTGAAGAGATTAGTGATGATGCAGATTTAAAACAAACCAGAACGGTACCCAAGCAGTGAGCACCATTATCAATAACAGTTAATATGCCAGCAACGAAGAAAAGTTGTAAGAACAAAGGTGGAGAGAGCAGAATATCGGTCTTGAGGACTAAATGAACTTGAGAGTAAAGGGCAAACGGTAGCGAAACTGAAGACCAATGCAAGTTCAAAACTAGAAAGAAGTTTTGAGTAAGTTTGATTGGTAGATATGGAGAACTTCTCATAACAGCCCTACCATACCATAGATCAAATTAGACTAGATACCATAAGAAATAGGAACAGGAGTAGGCCTACTCTGCCAGTCAATAGGATCTGACACTACTCGCATCCACTTTTCTGCCCTTTCCCCATAACCCTTGATTCTTCTACTGATCAAAAATCTATCTCAGCCTTTAAATATACACAAGGACTTTGCCCCACACTTCCTGTGACAAAGAGTTCCAAAGACTCTCAATGCTCAGAGAAGAAATTCCTCCTCATCTTAAATTGATGCCCCTTTATTCTGAGATCATGTCTTCAGGTCTTAAACTTTCCCATGAGGGGAAACATCCTCTCAACATTTACTCCATCAAGCCTTTTAAGAACCCTATATGTTTCAAGGAGATTCTTCTAAATTCCAATGAGGAGATTTCCAACCTGTTCAGCCTTTGCTTTTAGTACAGTCCCTCCACACCAGAATCATTGTTGTGAACATTCTCTGAAACGCCTCCAACGAAATTATATCTTTCCTTAACGACCAAAACTGCTCATATGTGGTCTGACCAGCAGCTCATACAGACTTCCCTACTCTTATACTCCAAAACCCTTGGAATAAGGACCAACATTCCATTAGCTTTCCTGATTACCTGCTGCACTTGAGTGGTAGCCTTCTGTGTTTTGTGCACAAGTACCCCCAAGGCCCTTGGTGTTGCAGTTTTTCTCCATTGAAGTAATACCCTGTTCTTTTATTCTCCCTTCCAAACTCAACAACTTCACATTTTCCTACATGAAACTCCACTTGCCAACTTACTTAACTGATCAATATCTCTCCATTAGTGAGTCTTCAACGGGAGCTTCGCTGGACTGCCTCCAATGCCAGTATGTCTTTCCTTAGATATGGAACCAAAACTGTTTGCAGTATTCCAGGTGTAGTCTGACTAGAGCTTTGCATAGTTTTGGCAAAACTTCCCTATTTTTATACTTCATTTCCTTTGAAATAAAGGCCAACATTCCATTTGCCTTCCCTATTACCCACTGAACATGAACACTAGTAATTTTTGTGACTTATGCATGAGGACTCACAAATTTAATTATTATATGGACATCGCTGGCTAGGCCAGCATTTATTGCCTATCCCTAATTGCCAAAGGGCAGATAAGAGACAACCACATTGCTTGGGTCTGGAGTCACAAGTACACCAGATCAGGAAAGGATGGCAGAGTTTCTTCTTTAAAAAGGACATTAATGAAACAGTTAATAACGGCTTTGCATTGTTACCATTAGACTGGCTTTTATGTTCACATTTTTATTGAATTCAAATGTCACCCTCTGCCATGGTGTGATTCAAATCCATGTGCCAAGAACATTAGCCTATGGTTCTAGATTACTAGTTCTGTGATATTACCACTGTGCCATCAACTCACTTGAAATCCCTCTGCTATAGCTTTCAGTAATATCTTTCCATTTAAACAATATGTAGCTCAACTATTCTTTCTGCCAAAGTGCATAACCTCATATTTTCCCATATTATATTCCATCTACCAAGTTTTTGCCCACTTACTTAAAATTTTTGCTCTTCAAACTCTTTGCAGCATCCTCACCACTTGCTATCCCATCTATTTTTGTGTCATCCATGAACTTGGCCATAGTACATTTACTTCTGCCATCCAAGTCATGACGTATATTGTAGATAATTGTGGCCCCCTCTCCCTCTGTGGCAGTCCACTAGTTAGATTGCCATCATGAAAATGCAGCCTCACACCCCGAAATATCCCAACTCTATCTACCAGTTAGCCAGTCCTCTATCCATGCTAGTATATTACCTCGACCATTATGCACTGTTATCTCAACTAGGCTAACGTGTCGAATTGGTTTACATTTCCCTGCCTCATCCCCTTCAGGAGGGCTTTATTTGCTACATTTCCAATTTAATGAAACCTTTCCAGAACGTGATGATTTTTGGAAAATTAACACCAAAGCATCAACTCTCTCATTAGCAACTTCTTTTAGGACCCTAAGATGAAATCATGTGGAGAAGACTTGTCATCCTGGCAACTGCATCAGCTTGATTAATACTACGCCTGTGAATGTAATTGTGCCAATTTCCTCTCTCCTTTCCACACCCTGATTTTAAAGCTATTTCTGGGAGGAATTTTTGTATTCACTATATTGAAGACAGTGGCAGAATAGATGTTCATTTCATCTTCCATTTCTTTATTATTACCATCAACTCCCCACAATCACCTGCTTCAAAGACAATACTCAGCTTACTATTATCCTTTTGAAATATGCGCACTCTTTCTATCCATTTTTACATTCCTAGCTAGCTTTGTTTCATACTCCAATTTATTCCTTCCGATTGACCTTTTAAACATTCTCTGCTGTTATTTCTGATTTATTCCTTAATCTGTTACCCTTCTTTATCCAGTTAAGTTTGATTCCTTCCCTAACGATGGGTCCTCTCTTTAGATGTGAATATAGCAGAAATATACTCAGAATCATACAGCATGGAAGCAGACCCTTCAGTTCAACAAGTCCATGCTGAACATAATCCCAAACTAAACTAGTCCCATCTGCTTGCTCCTGGCCCATATCCCTCCAAACCTTTCCGATTCACGTACTTATCCAAAACTCTTAAATGTTGTAATTGTACCCACATCTACCACTTCCTCAAAGTTCATTCCACATGCAAGCCATCCTCTAAAAATTTGTCTCTCGTCTTTTTTTAAAATCTCTCTCTTCTCATCTTAAAATTGTGGCCCCTAGTCTTGAAATGCCCCATCCTAGGTAAAAGGCAACTACTATTAACTCTACCTATACTCTTCATTATTTTATAAATTTCTATAAAGTCATCTCTCAACCTCCTATGCTCCAGTGAAAACTTAATGAGTATTCGGAAATATCCCCTTAAATGTCGGCAGTTGGATCTCTATTCACCTATCCCTGGCCTAGAGCTTTCTTGCCTGCATATCGTCTTTATTTAGATTTAAAATACCGTACCAGTCTTTGCCTCAATCTTCTTCCTTTCAAACTGGATGGCTGCTGCTACAAAGGGGCACCTGAACCCCAAGGTAACTAACCAACTAACCCTTTCGCATTACACAATACCAAGTTTGAGATAGTATGCTCTTCAGTCAGTTCCAAAGTGTGCTGCCCTAACAAACTCCCTCAAACGCATTCTATCAACTCATCTACATAACTATTGACAATCTGATATTTTCCAGTTTACACATAGATTAAAGTCACTCATGTTTGTTGTTGTCCCCTTATCACAAGCATCCAAAATTTCTTTGCGATGAGTCTCTTGTGGGTTGTTGGTGATGTTGAGGAAACAGGAAACTAGTAGGATACAAAAAAAAGGGAATTTAAGATGACAATTTACAGTAGAGAAAATGAATAGGGATTTACTGACATTCCAGCCTGATCCTGGAATAGTGAGCCATCTTGCCAGATAAATTAGATCTGCTACTTCCTCATGCTACTCAATTTCTCCTCATAATGCAAGCCTCCCGATGCTATAGTTTGGTTTTATTTAATTGCCATAGGAGATATTAGGAAGTCTGTCCATGATTGTAACACTTAAATTAAAATTCCCAAAGCAATTAATTTGCGTACCATTAATAATGTGCCAAACCAGTCACTTTTATAATAAAAAAGGAAACTTATTTTACTGCATGGTCACAACACCAAAATATTACTTTAGGCACTGTTATATGTGTGCATTGAAGCAAAAACAATTTGGGAGTCTTGTTCAGGTTGGAGACTGAAGTCTGCTAAAGCTAAGTGGTGTGACAGCCCCTTCAGGTAGTTTTCTCACAGTTTGCACCAAGATTAAAAAATAATTCAGTGGAAAAGATTGCAGTAAGCAGACAACACAGTACAGCATACTAATGAACAGATGGTAACTGTGTAACATAAAATAAATGAATAACTGACATTAGGATATAACATTACAAGTCTATGGTGATCTACATTTGGCTGTTGCTGAGAATGAGCAAAATTCCCTCTTCTCACCATAGTTCATTTAAAAAAAAGTCTTACCCCTCTGTTTTGGAAAGACTTCCAAAGGATGCTGCAATTAATCAAATAGATTAGAATTAGCAAATGCAATTAAGTAGATAATAAGTTAACCAAATAGTATTTTGGAAACATGAACCATTTTTATTACCTTCATGATTGGTCTAGCCTTCTTGTCAAACAAACTTGTTGGGAAAAGGTATCTGATCGCTCGCTGAAAAAAAAAGTGATAAAATAAAGCAATGACCACAGAATTACACAACAAATCTTTGTGCAAGTACATTCTCAATTTTGCACAAATTGATGACAACCTTTTTAAAGCAGCATTTAATTCATGTTAGAGATTCACGTGAAAGCATTTCTTAAAATCGTCTTTTAAACAAAGTCACAATATATGAAAGGAAGGGTTACACGGTAAAATTAAAACCAATTTTCTGACAGTCATATGCAAATTACCAGATTCAAAGGTACTTATGACATGACACCCCAAACATGGCTCACGCTGCAGGATAGTAAGTTAGGATATGAAAGTTATGTAAAACTATTGCTTACGAATGCACAACTTCTGTGCAGTGTGGATCAGTGCATTAAAGAAAGGACAATAAAACCAGAGAATTTACACCACAGATTGGTGCCACAGACTGATCAAACTAGACTTCTGTGGAAAAACTGGAAATATTCCAACTATTTTCATTGAAACAGAGATGATCATCTCTGAGATTTAATAGATTGTTAAAACTAAGAATCATGGTGATATTGTGAATTCAAGTAGCAATTTTTCCTCTAGTTAAGGCATCTAACAAAATAAATGAAAATTGTTCATGAAGACAGCCAGTGGAGTTTTTTCTTTAAAAAAACAGTTTTGAGAGCATGGAAAGCTTTTCCACTGGGAGTAAATGTACAAACATGAGTAGGGAGTAGACTGTTCAGCTCTTTGAGCCTGTTCCACCATTCAATATGATCATGGCGGATGCTCAATCTTAATGCTATTTTTCACTTTCTACTTACACCCCCAATACTTTAATATCTAAACAATTTATTTATTTCTTCTTGAATATATTCAGTGACTTGGCCTCCACAGCCTTCTGAAAGAGAATTCCATAGGTTCACTGCCCTTTCAATGAAGGAATGTTTCCCCATCTCAGTCCTAAATTGATTTATCCTGATTCTGGACAGTTTGCCCCTGGTTCTAGGCTCCCCAAAACTGGGAAAACATCCTCTCTGCATCTAGTCTGTCCAGCCCTGTCAGAATTTTATACATTTCAATCAGATCCTTCTCATCCTTCTAAACAGTTAGTGTATTGATGCCCAGTCAAACCAATCTCACCTCATAGGACAGTATCAGCCTAGTGAGCATCCACTGCACTATGGCAAGTGTATATTTGTTAGGTAGGGAGACTAAAACTGCATGCAATACCCCTAGAGTCACCTGGCCAAGATCCTGTATAACTGCACAAAGACATTGTTACTTCTGAACTCAAATCATCTTGCAATGAAAGCCAATATACCAATCACCTTCCAAACTGCTTAATCCACCTGTCTACTTTCATTTACTGGCATACAAGGATACCTGGATCCCTTTGTACATCCACACATTTCAATATCACCATTTAAGTAATACTCTTCATTTCCGTTTTTCACACTGAAGTGTACAACTTCACATTTAGCCACATGATAATGCATCCGCCACGTGTTTGGCCACTCACTCAAATTGTCTAAGTCATGTTGAAGCCTCCTTGCAGCCTCCTCTCAACTCTTGATCTCACCTAGCTTAGTCTCATCAGCAAACTTGGAAATGTTGCATTTGGTTCCCTCATTTAGGTTATTTATACATACAGCAAACTGTGTTTTAACCGACACTCTCAATAAACCAGCAAAAATGATATACCTTTAAAACCACAAATTTTACTGTATTACTCTGCCCAATTATAGTTTTTAAATTTATTTACCTCAATCTAAGTATATTTGTTGTTCAATCGAATGACCACATGAAATATCAGCAGTTGATCTGATTTCCAGTCAATATCTCCTCAAATACCATGATCCACCCATGTGGACCTCTTGATTACCTGGAATATTTGATCAACCAGCACATTCCTGGTCCATTAGGTACCAATTAATAAAACATTTGCTGTAGCACTAATCCTTGTAGTGCTTCACTCATCATGACCCATTTATTGCCACTCTGTTTCCTATCTGTCAACTAATTCTCAATCCATGCCAATACATTACCCTCTCCCAGGTGATTCAATTTTGCCCACTAACTTCTTATTGGGGACTTCTATCAAAAGCCTTTTGAAAATCCAAATACAGCACATCCACTGGCTCTCCCTAACCTATTATACTAGTTCAAAAAACTCCAGTAGATACCTTAAGTAAAATTAGCCTTTCATAAACCCATGCTGGCTTTATCCAATCATGTTAACACTATCCAAAAATGTTCTGTTATTACATCTTCTACAATTGACTCTTGCAGGTTCCCACTACTGATGTTAGGAAAACTGGTCTATAATTCTGTCTTAATGCTCCCTCTCCTTTTACATAATGAGATTGCATTTGATATCCCCAATCTGTAGGAACTGCTCCAGAGTCTATAGAATTTAAGATGACCACCAATGCATCCATATTTCCGGGGACAATTCCTTTAGTACAATAGGATGTAGATTATCTAGCGGTGGTTATTTGTCAGTCCACTCAATTAAATTTCCTCAACGTCACTATCTTACTAAATATTGATTTCGTTGTATTCTACCCTCTTGTTAGACCATTGGTTCCCTAACATTTCTGGGTGGTTATTTGTGATTTTGCCTTCACAAAAGAAGGCAAAGTAGGTCCTTAAATCTTCTGCCATTTCTTTATTCCCCATTATAATTTCCTTGGCTTAACCATAAGGGACTACATTTATTTTTACTAATATGTTTTCCTCTTCAGATATTTCCAGAAGATTTTAAAAAGGTCAGCTTCTATGTTTCCTGCAATTTTACTCTCAATCTATTTTCTCTCTTTTGATCAAACTTCTCATTCTCTTTTGCCAAATTCTAAAATGCTGCCAGTTCTCAGACTTATGCCTTTTCCAGCATTTTTGTTTTAAGATTCAAAGAAGAGACACAATACTATTCCCAAATTTCTTCTATAAGCCATGGTTAAGCCACTTTTCCTCTTATTTTTCTGCCAAACAACAAATAATTATTGCAATTCATGCACACATTATTTAAATATGAATCACTGGCTATCCAACATCAATTCCTTTAATAAGGTTTCCCAACCCAGCCTTGCCAATTTACACCTCACATCCACATAGCTCCCTCTTTTTAGATCCAGGATACTAGTTTTCAGATTCAACTACATCATGCTACAAATGAATGGAAAAATCTATTACATCATGGTCACTTTTCCCCACAATGAGATGGTTAACTAATCCGTTCTCATTGTGATGTACCTAGCCTAAAATAAACCTATTCTCTAGCTGGTTTCTCAATGTCTTTAAAAAAAGTCATTGTGTAAACAGTCCAGGAAATCCTTTTCCAAAATACTATTGCTAGTTCTGTTTGTTCAATCTAGATGTAAAGTCACCCAAATTACAGTTGTACCCTTACTGCATGCATCTCCGATTTCTTGTTTAACGTCTTTAATTCTCATCTTCACTACTGCTTGGGGACCAGAGACAACCCCCAGTGTTTTGTGCCCCTCTTGGTGTTTATCACCACCCATACAGATTCCACATCATAATTTTTCAAGTCAATAGTCCTCCTCACTACTGCATTTATTTACTCCTTTATAAACAATGCTACCTCACCTCTTTTCCCTTTTTGCCTATTCTTCTTAAATAATGAATACTTCTGGATGTTCAGCCCCTTTAATTGGTAATCCTGCAGCTATGTCTCTGTATTTGCAACTATAGCATAAACGTTAATATCTATTTGTGCTGCTGCACTCAAGTAGTCACAGAGACAATGTTGTTAATACAAATGCAATTTGAAGAACTTTATGTTGTGCTTACGAGGAGCGAACAGGGTTTTGGATGCTGTGGTATTTGATTAGAAAACACAACTGAAAAAGAAATCTGTTCAGAGATGTTAATTACACACCTCTGGAGGAGATGGGACTTGAACCTGGGTCTCCAGGACTAGGGGGTAGGGACCCTATCATTGCGTCAAAAGGAACAGTCCTAGACTGTTCTAACAAAGCTAATGGTCAAATGTTCACTACCATACATTCAAATTTACAACAATGGGCTGCAGAACTGACACTATGCATTTTGCTTAGGCTGATCAGAAATGTTTAGATATTTCTGGTTCATTTATAACTATGCCTACCATTCTAACACTTTAAAATGGTTTCAATTGACAACTTTCTCTCAGAATTGAGAAGGTACAACTATTGGAAAGGATTGAATAGGTTGAAATTCATTTTAGAGAAATCAGAGATAATTTGACAGGTGTTCATAGCGCAAACAAAGATGATGCTTACATCTGATAAAGAATCATATAAGGTTACATCACTGAATGAGACCAAGAGTCTATTACACACCAAAGGCTCTCTGCAAGCGCAATTTAGCTAATCCCACTCTCCACTGTCCCCATAGCCTTGTAAATTCTCTCTTTGGATGAGCCCCCAATTTGTTTTAAAAGACACAATTGAACTTGCCTTCATCAGTCTTTCAGACAGTGCTTTCCACATCATTAAAAATACATTTAAAAGTTTTCATGGTGCTATTGGTTCTTTAACCATTCACCTTAAAATCAATATCCTGTAGTTCCTAATTCTTTCCTAAATGGGAACAGTTTCAATTACCTACTTTGTCTCGACCCACGATTTTGAACATCTTTATTAAATCTCTCCCAACCTTCTCTCTAAGATGATAACTACTAGCTTCTTTATTCTATAAATGTACCTGAAGTCACCCCCTGAAACCATTCCTTTTTTAGAAGTATGCATAATATCAAAACTTCATTTATGTTACACCCGAAACATAAGTGTGCAAAATCAGAGTAGCCATGATCTGCTGAGGTAGTGAATCAGGCTAGAGGAGCCAAGTGGCCTGGAATTAATTGATGTGTATGCGTTTCGGGATGCTACTTGTTAGTTTTGTTTGATTTCATATCTTTTCCAAAACCTATCAGTTTCCATCAGTGTATCATTGTTTTAGTCCTTTGATATTATCTCATTATTTGTTTCAGCTAAACATCCCAATTTCTTTTCCAACATTTCTTA